CCACAGAATGGGGACAGAGGGCACCTCCCTGAAATTACTTTTTTCAGGTTGGGATCCCTAAACATGACAACCACATGAAATCTCGGAAGCAAAAAAGCGTGGAACGCGTGTCACAAAATCTGCCTCATGACCTTTTTTTGTCACGTTTGTAGCACGTGCAGGCTCCAATGAACTCAATGGTGATGTGCGGCACATGAACGCGACACGCATTTGCGGTATATGAACAGGACGAGCATTCACGGCACGCACGGGTCTGAAAGCAGGCTAATAGTTAAGGTACTTAAATGCAGTTTTAAGATTTAACTCCTGATTTTAGACTGTAAACTTTCACTTAAAGTGGCACAAAACTCTGTAGCAAAGCCCAGGTAAATGAATACTAGAATACTGAATGATAGAAAGCACTATAAATCACCGTCCACCCCACATTACAGTACATGGATACAACCATTGTCCTCTACATTCCATGGGCATCGTAAATGTCAGAGAAGCATCACAAAGTTTCCTAATACTGAACCGGACAGGAAACACCACACCGGTAACGTCACCTCGTAATGTTACAGTCATGTTAATCTCATCAGCTCTAACAATGATCTTCACATATTGTGTTGCTTTTAAAAAAGTGAAATTATTTTCCCGCAGGCAGAAACCCCTCTCCCCCCTCCTTCCCACTAAGGACTGACATCTCGATCTCTACGGTGTATAGAAGAACACCCCCTGCACACTCACCAAGTCAAATCCCTTCCTGAAACACAAGGCTGCCTTGCCTCCTGCAAATCTGTATTGGCCTTCTAGGGTCAGATGACAGGAACACCCAAGTAGGAGGAGTGCAGTGTACAGCCGATACGTACTGACTGCAAACAGCATTGGAAATCCGGAAACCTACTGCTAGCATTACATTTCATTGTCGTGATCATCAATGGCGAAAGAAGAATAGATCGCTTTAACCATTTTGCTGCCAGATCGTTTTTGCATTATAAACCATATTTTAGGCTGGAAAATCGCTTAAAATCCCCAGAATTATTTATTTCCTGAAAGCCCAGATCCTGTAGACTAAAATGGCAGCAGTTGCAAATTTTTATGGCGCATAATCTTAGCGCAACTCTTTATCAAACCCAAAATTTCAGAAAAAATATACAATGAAGTTAACTTTAGTTCACAAAAAAACAACATGTAATACCCTTTTTAAAAACAAATATAAAAGAGGAGGTTGTGGCGAGTAAATAGATACCCAGCATGCCAAGCCTAAAAATTGCATGCATCCAAGAAATTGTCCATAGGCAATCCTTTCAAAGCTTGTACAGGTCATTTTTCAGCATAAGCATAAATATTGTCAGTACAATTATTGTTCT